TAGCTTCTTGTTACTACTAGTAAGGCACTTGTTACTACTAGCGTGGCACTTGTTCCTAGTAGCTTCTTGTTACTACTAGTAAGGCACTTGTTACTACTAGCGTGGCACTTGTTCCTAATAGCTTCTTGTTGCTACTAGTTTGCGATGAAACAGCCGCTGAGATCGTATGAGCAACAAATCCTGAGAAGAACTCGTTTGACATAGTGTCAGTTTATCAATGTTGCACTGGCGAGTACTCGGCAACCACCCAAACATGAACTAATTTACCCCGGGATGCTTTCCTATTAGGATGGTTTCAGGCACCTAGCTCTGATCCACCCCATGCCAAGCAATCTCCGGAAATTGTAAATTGAATTGGACAGATCATACATGGTCTTGACTATTCGTCGCAATGCAAAGCAAAGTGGTGGCACAATTCAACGCCATAGGTCCGATACCGGTGTCTAATGTAAATATATTAATTTACATAACTATATCGACTATATCAGTGCAATATATCACCTCCAGCATTGTACTGTCACATAATTGAACCACGAACCGCAGCCATCGCTTGAACCTGAGGGAATCGGGAAACAATACTGTCCTTTTGAAGCCCTTTACAGGGAATCGGCGCTTGAACCAATCCCTGTCAATTCATCAAAGCTCCATGGAGAGAAAACAAAGGTTGCCATAGTCCTATCAACAGTTAGATAAACAACTATGTCTATCTTATTGTATCTAGTTGTTGCACCTCGAAGCTTGTGCCCCAATCAAACTTAAGGATTGTCAAGGTATATAATATATCTATATAGTAATATAATATATTATATTATCGCCGCAAATTAAGGGGGGGACGTCCAAAAATGTAAGTTACATATTCCTATGGTTTCGAGCCTCAAAAATGTAAGGTTACATTTTTTCTTTGTCATAGGAAAAATGTAAAATCTCCATGCTGACGTATGTCGAAGTATGCAAACGACATGCAACGACATGCAAACATTCTCAGAGCTTCTTTTCCTCTCTGCTTCTGCTTTGTGCATTGCATCTAGCCGTATTTTACAGCAAGCTTTTCACCTGCCCCTTCCATAGCTTACATGATGTTTCATTTGGGTTTCACCGTTTACCTTCCAGACATTCTTGGCCTATTGATTTGCTTGGTTCTAGCTTCACTCGCCACCAAGCTATGATCCACTACGCGCGGCCCCCGAGACCTCGTATCAAACCCGTTTGGGGCACGCGCGTGCGCGGGCGTTCCCGGCATCTTTTACGTTCCAGGCAGTCTTGGTCTTTTTGATGGCTTAGCCCTAGCTTTCACTCACTACCAAGCTATGATCTACTACCCAACATGTTCCGATTGCCTTGGCATTTCGTAGCGATGCTTTTCAACTTCTCCTTTCATAACTTGCATTGTTCTTTTGGGTTTCGGCTTTTACTTTTACGTTCCTGGCATTCTTGGCCTATTGAGTTGCTTGGTCCTAGCTTTCACTCGCTACCAAGCTATGATCTACTACGCAGCTAGCCGTGCATTACCCAGCGTTTTGAGATCGCTTTGCATTTCATGGTGTTTCACAGCATGCTTTTCACCTGTCCCTTTAATAGCTTACATTTTTCATTTGGGATTCCACTTTTACGTTCCAGGCATTCTTGGTCTTTTGCATGGCTTAGTCCTAGCATGTCCTAGTTTTCACTCACGATTGAGCTATGAGGCTACGTTGTACTACCCAGCCGTGCTGTATCCAGCGTTCTGAGATTGCCTTCCATTTCCTGGTATTTCACAACATATGTTTCACCTACCGCTTTCATAGCTTACATTTTTTGTTTGGGTTTCAGCTTTTACATTGTAATTCCCAGCATTCTAGATCTTTGGGCTCTGTGACATTCTGTAGCCTTGCCAGGAGAAGCACACGTGGCTCTCACTGTCGACAAGAATGTCTTTGTTCTTTGAACTCATGGACGAGATCGAGAAGAGCAAAAAGACGCACCACCACAGCAAGGGGGTCTTCGTAGTGGTCACTGGTTGCGACAAAATCCTCAATTTGATGCGACGCGGCGCGGTATCTCATGCATGCTTTGCCAGGTGGGTCACCACTAGCTGCAAAGACCGCTTATAAAATAGAAATATAATTGATTAATATTGAATGAATCCCCCCTTAGTTACATTTTTAATTCCCCCCCCTCCCTGCAATAATTAAGTAGGCATCCGGTGACTCATAAATGTAACTTACCTGCGTGGGAGGTCACATATTACATTTACTGTGCCCCCCCACCCCCTCCCAAACAGTTCACCGTAGATACCTAGGAGGACCTTAACTTACAGATAATTTTGGGATATTTTGGGTGAGGGAGGTCCCGAAAATTGTAACTTACATTTTTGTACCTCCCCCCCCCCAAAACCAACGTTAGTGGGGTAGGGATATTATATTGACAGAACAACCTGGGTTCTCTTAACGTACAGGAGTTGCGTCAAGCTGCTGGTACTGCAGTCTCAAGCCACCCTTTCCATCCAGCGTGCCACGACTCCGGTAGATATGCCGGCCGTGCGCTCGGTCCTGAGGGCTGCGAGCGCAAAAACCCTGGGCTGGTCGCACCAGCAACACATGAAAAATCAAAACTGCAAAGTTTCAAAGGAAAGGAGAATTCCAGTCATTGTTAAGGGACGAAAGGCATTACGTACTTGCTGTTGACTCAAGCAGTGGTCCAACGCAGGAGTCCTGAGAGCAAACAGCGACTTGTCTGTGACGGAAGTGGACATGGTTCTAGATCTTACATATCTTACTTTCTGAAAAAAAACAAACAAACAATATATAATCGAGATGTTTTGCATTCGCTGACTAAGCACACATTCCACGACATCGGAGTCATCGATGCTAGCATATGCTAGCCATCTCAGTGCTAGGAGGATTCAAAAGCACAATAAATGGGGCCTGGATAGGATGGCTTAGCAAAGCCTGCTCAGCATGCCCACTAAAGCCTTTTTGCACCCTGAGCTCGTTATCCACTCGTCCGCCTTTACGATCCTTACCTCTCAAGGGGCAGTCTACCTTGGACCTCACTATCTTCGACTGGCATTACAGTATTCATTTGGCCAACTAAGGCCCCATGCTGTTGGGTGGCACTTGGACAAATGTTAAAAAACCAACAAAACAAACCAACAACAATGTGGCTTTGACCTACAGTACCTGAAAGGTCAAGCTACCTGGTGTTGTGGGATCCAGGTTTGGACCCAACGACACGTTCGGCTGCCGTCCTCCGTCCGGAGGAACGTCTCGGTGGCCCAGCGGAACTGCACCGTGACCACCGCCGGGCCCTGGTGGCGTTGGTGTCAGAGGTCTTTAACTGGTGGATTCGACGTACCATTCCACATCTTGATTCGGGGCTGAAATGGAGTCAATCATGGCAATTTGCTGGTAGTTGAAACAAAAGTCAAAGCAGCTAAAGAGATTACTTTGCATTCCAGAAGCTCAAGAAACATGCTTTAAGAAGGGTAGGCAAGCAGGACTGCTTCCAAAATGCTGCTTCGCATGGATGCGCAGGACTTCGCCAGTTCAGTGGGTCGCACAGCTGGGAACATGTCGTCTACGCAAAGACAAGGAGTTGAGGGGGTACAGTCGTAGCAGGGAGTTCCTGGAAACAACAACACGACACACTCTGCTTCTTTTTCATGGTCTAAGAGTACAACCCTTCCCAGAAAGTTTGGAACGAGTGGTTCCCTCTTTCAAGTGAGGGTGATGTCGGGGAGTGCACATATTCGAACCCGGATTCACTGTTCCATCGATGTTTTTGTACACTTTGTGATGGATGCACTAATCGGTATGGAAGAAAACATCATAGCATCTGCGGGTTCCAAACTATATTCAAACAGCCAACCCATAGGATTGAGGCTGTTTCAAACCAATAGAGTGAGGTTGGTACCCTAAGAGTTCAGGACATGAGCTTCAACTCAACTCTAATTGGAATTTCCACCATTTCGGGTGGACCACTGTTGAAGAAACAAATCCTCTTGTCACCCTGAGATAAGGAAGACAGCCAGAGTTTTAAGGTGTTTGGATGGGGTCTAGCATTTGTTTGGATCTCTTCACCGGTGAACACCTGACCCCGTCCCTTCCCGCCTCAACGTCCATGGTGCGGAGTGCGAAAATGCCCGGGCGGAACTTGTTGGATAGTTCTATCGCTTACAGTTCTTCTACGTCCTTCTGTTCATTTCCAGCAGGCCGTCGCGCATACGGTTGAACAACCGTTTTCTGTGTGAGATATGAATAATGAAGTCCAGCAAACACCACAGTGCATTTGGTGCTCTTGATCTACTTTTGAAGTTTTGAAGCGGGTCTGGGGGGGAGTCTGCTTTCGATGCCTCTGCTTTCTCCGGGGAGTCTGCTTGTCCAACGTTTGTCCACGTGTCTGTCGTGCAATCCTAAGCTGAGCTGGCTGATCGCACAAAAAGGCTAAGCTTCGCCCCTATCCGTCCTGCGGCATGTGGCTATCTCACTTCCCAGTGAAGAAAACATATCTGGATTCAAACCACCACAGTAGAGGAACATCAGCCCCTGGCAGTTTCCGGTAAGTAATCACAAATTACGGTAACTATCTACAAGTCGTCATCCCAATCTGCCAAAAAGAAGAATTCTCCCACTAGTTGTCTTCTTTGGATGAGCTCCTTTACCATGTGCTATCTTGCTCCGCCTATCTTCGCATGACAAACACACTCATTGGAAGTACGTTTTGTATCAATGGATAAGCATAATAAGCACATGTCCTGCACATCTCTTGCAGTGACTTTCAATTAGCCGCAGCCAAGAGTTGTTGTTTGCCACAATAGAGACTTCTTCCCTGACAGATCCCAACGGCGGCATCGTCTCAAAGGACCTTCCGCAACGTCTTCCGCCACCGACCCAAACGGTGACCTCAGCAGCGACGCGGACCCGAGCACCACCGATGGATTTGTCGAGAAAACCATGGCTTTGGATGGTTTACACCGACCGGGGCCTCTAGGGGGTGTCTAGGGCCTCTAAAACCTTCCTGCAACAGCACGCGGGTGTATGTATGTATGTATGTATGTATGTATGTATGTATGTATGTATGT